TCCTCTCTCTCTGTGCTTTGTGTTCGTGACCATCTGAACCGATGATCGAAGATAACGGCATGCCTCTATGAACAAATAATCTCCCCTCTTCTTAACCATCTCACGTGAGTCTTACCCTATCGCACAACAAACACGCCTTCTTTTAATCATTCTTTTTTCACATGCATCAGCCTTGCAGCCTCTCTCTCTCTCTCTCTCTCTTACTCTCTCTTACTCTCTCTTACTCTCTCTTACTCTCTCTTACTCTCTCTTACTCTCTCTTACTCTCTCTTACTCTCTCTTACTCTCTCTTACTCTCTCTTACTCTCTCTTACTCTCTCTTACTCTCTCTTACTCTCTCTTACTCTCTCTTACTCTCTCTTACTCTCTCTTACTCTCTCTTACTCTCTCTTACTCTCTCTTACTCTCTCTTACTCTCTCTTACTCTCTCTTACTCTCTCTTACTCTCTCTTACTCTCTCTTACTCTCTCTTACTCTCTCTTACTCTCTCTTACTCTCTCTTACTCTCTCTTACTCTCTCTTACTCTCTCTTACTCTCTCTTACTCTCTCTTACTCTCTCTTACTCTCTCTTACTCTCTCTTACTCTCTCTTACTCTCTCTTACTCTCTCTTACTCTCTCTTACTCTCTCTTACTCTCTCTTACTCTCTCTTACTCTCTCTTACTCTCTCTTACTCTCTCTTACTCTCTCTTACTCTCTCTTACTCTCTCTTACTCTCTCTTACTCTCTCTTACTCTCTCTTACTCTCTCTTACTCTCTCTTACTCTCTCTTACTCTCTCTTACTCTCTCTTACTCTCTCTTACTCTCTCTTACTCTCTCTTACTCTCTCTTACTCTCTCTTACTCTCTCTTTTACTCTCTCTTACTCTCTCTCTTACTCTCTCTTACTCTCTTTTATTCTCTCTCTTACTCTCTCTTACTCTCTCTTTTACTCTCTCTTACTCTCTCTTACTCTCTCTTACTCTCTCTTTACTCTGTATCTGTCTCTGTCTTTAACTTTACGTATCACTATGTATACTCTGTACAAATAAAAGCTGCGCTCTTGGCTCTCCGCTACTCATTGCTTTTATTCGCGGACGCTGAGCTTCGCTTTCATTTTCTTGATGGCGTTTTCCTTGCGCAACGCTTTAATTGCGCGCTCGCGCTTACTCAGCCGCTATTAATGCATCGTGAGGCTTAATGAGTCTTGGAACTCGGAGTGTTTGAGCACGGGGCTGAGAAAGCCACGAATTTCGTCATATTTTTTGTTTGATTTAAAGGTGCGCGAGATAAAAGGTGTCTTTTGCATTTTAAAGTCCTGGGGACTCGATTTATTTCGAGGACCGTTTGATTATTCAATAATAGAAGAAGAAGAAGTGGTACATCAAGATTTATTTTTGGATTTAGACGTTTCTTTTTCATTCTTATTTCTTAACTTCGAACTGCAACGGCGTATTTATAAAACTGAATAAGTAATTCTAGAACTCATCGACTTTAATATTTTACACGGCTTAAATTATTTATAGGACTGGATAGCTTTTAACTTTAATTCCGAAGAGTATTGCACCTGTAATGTGAAGCACTGTAGTGGAAATAAAATGCGTGCAAAAAATAATGACAATTGCCGATAATGTATAATAAATATTTTCATAATTTACGGAATAATTAACTGAGTTTGCATATTATGATAAAATTTCTTTACAATTATCTATTTCATAGAATATCTGGTAATAATAATTGGTATATTGAGGTCATATTTGTTCAGGTGACCGCTTATGCTTTCGTATAAAATAAATTCGTTTCATTGATAATTAAGGGCAACAAAGTTTAATGCTACGACTCTAAATAAAAATAATCCTGGTTATCGGAATAATTTTATTTTGATTTATTACCATGAATATCTCTTTTTTTCTCAAATTTTCGTTTAAAAATTTTACCGTCTCAACATTAAATATGATTAGTAAAAATATCAGGTGTAAGAAAATCGTATGCCTTTTTTCTCATTTTCTGCTCCTTCTGCCTTTTCTACTATGGTATAATCTGTTTTCAATTACGATGATCCCATTTTTCTTAAGAATCAATACACAAAGTAGGAATTTTAAAATTATTAATGAACAAAAGTATATCTATGATTTATTCAACAATATACAAAATAATATATTTTATTTTTATTGTTAAACGGGATATCTTACTTTATAAAATATTTTCTACTTTTAAATAGTGTTCCAAGTTTAGTCTGTAATTATTAATAAAGTGATTGTTTGTAAACTCTTGATTAAAGATGAATATCATTATGTAAGAGCATTTTTTTTTTTACATAATTAATAAAACAGGTTGTAATATAAATATTAAATAAAATCATATTTATGCCGAGATTAGTGGAAAAGATGCATAATTCGTATATCTTAAATGATAATTATAATTTAAATATTTATTATATTCATAGAATATTCATAGAATTTATTTTTGGTTTTCATATGAAAAATCTTGCGCCGGTAGTACGATGTACCGTAAAAATTTCTTCATCTATTAAGGAATAATTTAATTCAAACAACATAAAAAAAAAAAATAATTATAATAAATAATTATAATAAATTTATGCGACGAGTGGTATAATAAATTATTGCTATTAGAAAAATTATAGTAAGAATTTATTTAACTTTGATCAAAATTTCATTTTCTATAAAAAATTGGGCAATGAATGAATAATCGTAATAAATTATTAAATAAAGACAGCTATGTTTTATGGCTTTATTAGCAAAAATTGCTATTGTCTTGGAATAACTTTTTTTTATTTTTTATTTTTTCATTCGTTTCCGAACATAATATTAAATATTTCACTGCAGGATCGAATATATTTAATTATCTAATTCATATATTTAATTATAAAGATGGATATTTTAATTATTAATATTTATTTTAAAATAAATATCTGAACAACCAATTTGTTGTTTATTAAAAAAGTTTTAGAAACTTTAAGTCAATGTATATATACACGAAGCTTTAAATAGATTCATTAATATATATTCATTATTTAATCAATAAAAATTTATTTTACGGTAATTTTTTGATATAAATAAAAGCATAATTCAGTATTCAAGTGACATTAACTAATTGAATTCATTAAAATGAATGAATAAAATTCATGAAATATTTGTATGTTTTGCTAAAATAGAGAATAAGCAATTTTTATCACATTTATGTTATCGTATGATTATGACATTTAATTTTCATTTATTCCATTTGCATGACAAACCAAGCTAACATGCATAATGCACAAATAGTCTCATTACTTTAAATAAATATAAATGCTTAAAAGTATCGCATGTATAGTTCATTTAATTTCCATATTCATCTACATATCATAGCATATCATAGCATCTATTGACAAATAAAATTATGTATTTCGTTATTACGTAATTATTATTTATTTATTTAATTTTTGTATATAAAGCAAAACGTCCTGAAGGAAAGAAATAAATATTGTAAAAAGCAAAGAAATAATGTAAATTATCCAACAGAAAAATATAAATTGTTTTCAACCGAAATTTTATAAGACGAGTTTATAAATATTTTTTATATTGTTACAGAAACATTTAAAACAAGTATTATAAGTTTTTAATGTTTGTTATTCTATTTGTAATTGATGCATAATTGATTTATTGAAAATAAATTATTTTATCATAAAGAGTATTATTATTATTTTATTTTAACACTGACCAATGTTAGTATAATATATAAAATGAGGTATCGCAAAAATTTATATTTTACTATACTATTAATTTTCTCCAATAACGTATTAAAATTAATAAAACAAACAGTGAAGGGAAGGTCAATATTTATTTATAATTTGTTTATCGATTTTAAAAAAATATCCCGACTATCTCGTGCATAAAAATATTTATACAAATATGTACGTAAAATTTCATTTATTAGTTTAATTTACGCATTGTTATTATCTTTTCCTTAACTATATTACTTACTTAGACAATGTAAAGACAATGAATTTATTTCTTATTTAATGAGTGTTTTAATCTTCAAGGACTTGTCAGTACCGTAACATTAATTATTCATTATTTATTTACTGTGCCTCTCAAAGTAATTCTTTCAAAAAGGACCTTCTGCTTCCGAAAGTAAATAGCAATATAATTTAGAAGATGTGAAATCTCTTACATTACCCGTGATCACTGTAAATTCAGTTCAAATATATAAATATAATTGAAATGTTCCTTTGATAAAGCATTTGTTAAGAGGACATATTAATTTAATTTGAGCTTACAAGCATCGGCAATGAATTTTTCATCAATAGTCAATATTGAAGAAATTATTATTTATTATTATCTCGTCAGAATTTATATATTAAATATGATTGGAGATATTTACATTATGTTCAATCAATGTAGAAGTTTGATTTCACATCTTTTTATTAAATATTATAGATAATTCGAAATATAATGATGTAATTGTTACATAAATTGTGTCGCTTTTTAACAATTCTGTAAGAATATATGAGATGTATTAAAATTATGAAATACAAACGTATTGTTGATATTTTCAAGCATTTATCATTTACGTATATATTGATCGTACATCGGATATAAAATATATAATGTATATTTCATTTTAAAATTGTATTTATTCAAATGCGAATGAGTAGTAGCAATATTTCTTATATGGCTTATTATTAAAAAATTATATCTTTATTAATATAATGTAACAATAGTTTAATAATAATCAAATTAAATATTATCACTTGGCGCGTGAAATTAATTGGGCATTCTGAATAAATTCTTCGAAATCAAGAGGAGTAATTTTTAAATGAAAATAAAACCTTAATAAGCATATTTGATTTCTCATTGTTAAGGATGATGATGGACTTAATATGAAGGATGTAAAGCCAGAAATTTATTCTAAATTCAATATTGTTACATTTTTATTCTTTTATGTCATGAAGATAAATTTTGCCGATTTAGTCGATAGAGATTTATATGTTAAAATCTAGCGGATAAGATTTAATAAAGAAATGGAATCGAGGGATCATTAGGTAATTTAATTATTATTGAATAAAACATTGAAAATATACTTACGTTAAACTAATATTAATATTCAATCAAATACGATTATTCAATTAATCCGCAGTAGCGATAATTATACTTTTGTGTTCTATTTTAATATATACATGAGTTTATCAATATTTTCGTTCAATACTACTTTTCAAGAATTTACACAATTACAGATGAGTTTTCGATGTAAGAAACCTGATTTCCGTCGCATGGGCAAATCGCATAGCTAGATTCCGATTGACCTAAATAATAATTATAGCACCGAGCCACATCCAATTTTTCTCCACCATTTACATTATCGGAAATTCATCTGTACGTTATCGAGAGTCGAATAATGAAAAGCGACTGAAAAAATAATGAGAAGCGACAAAGTTTTTGTAACTATACGAATGCCTATAGGAATAATGAAAGCATAAGCAACAAAGGCGCGCACTCTAAAAATATACCAAATTAGAATTCCAAATGAAATATAATTGAAAATTTCAAACTAACTGACAACCAAGCACTGGCCAGTGCTTTAATTATACAATATTCTATAAGCTCGGATTCATTTAATCTTAGCCGAGTTTGATCGATTATTATTTGCCGATAGAAGGCCGCCCAATTCGTTTGAGCAAACAATAAGAGACGCGGATGCATAATTTACGTTTGGCCGCGCGCGTGTGTATGTCCGGTAGTAAAATACGCCGATTAGGCAAGCGAGGGATCGTGAATTTTAATCTTATAAATTTAGAGTGCAACCGCAAATTGACAAATCGAATGTAAAAGTCGAAAGTCACTCGACCCTCGGACGCATACAATATCCGACCAGAGAAATACTGAAATCGGACCGTGTGCTCCTTCCGCCCCGTCCCATCCCCATATCACGACCACCATATCCCCACCATTTTCACCATCGAACCGACGATCGTGTGAAATCCCGTGATGCGTGGCGCGCCTCGGCACACTTTCCGCTGTGTTGTTGCAGGCACCGTAGCCCCGCCTCCGGAGAACTATTACGCCTTACCAGCGGGAAGCGCGAGTCTCGCTGTCCTTGGGCTGCTGGTCCTCTGCTTCCTCTGCCATCGACGCCTAAAACGGCGCGTCCAAGAGACCGGCTTGGGCATCGGTCCGGGCCCGCCCCACCTCGACGACCTTCAGCAGCACGTCGACGAGAGGACGGGCCGCTGCTTCCACCATCATCACAATCAGCAGCAGTACCATCACCACGGGCTGTTGCATCACCACCATCACCATCATCATCACCATCACCATCATCCGCACCACCACAGACAGGGTTCGCAACGCAGCCGGGCGCGGAACGAGGATGACGAGGACGAGATGGACGAGCGCGGCTCGTTGGCCGACTTTGGCGGGGATTACGGTCTCCAGCCGCCCAGCCCGAGCAGCGACAGCGACGCCGAGATGGAGCTCGTGGGCGAGAGCTACGCGAGGGAAAGGATAGTCGGCTGCGAGATGGATAATGACGAGGCCGACGAACTGGCGGACGATGCCAGCAGCAGCCCCGAGAGTTGCACGACCACTCGTGAAATTCGCTGATGTCAGGGCAGGCGCACCGACTGGTTGAGAGCGAAGTATGATCTTATACGACGATGACGGTCACCCCATTGAGACTTTTAGTTTCGATATGGATGGCTCCGCTTGGGCGAAACCTGCCTCCGCGACTCCTATGTCCCTTACGAGGTAGCCGATTATTTCGGCAGACTATAAGGTTTCAAATGAGTATCGAGCGCCAACTACCCAATGTCAAAGCTCGCGGTCGGTGATCCATTACTTCACCGATACATTGGCGAGCAAATTATTGCGAGAGAGGAAGGCTCTGTGTTTTCAAAAATCAGGGGAACAAATTTTCAAACTGTTTAATGCCTAGTTCAACGATCCGCGCGATACGTGCAGAAGAAACGTACGTAAGCAAGCGCACAAGCGCCCGCGCGCACTCACGCGCACACGCATAAACGCATAAACAACCCAAGTATGTCTTATAGATGTTAATAAACTGCCAAGTTCCGATTAATGTCAGTATTGAGCGAAATTAATAATAGCAATCGACCATGTCCCTATATATGCATTTATTTTTTTTATCTTTAAAAGAATTTTTAATGATCTTAGCAATTTTTAATGACAATTTCAATTTTTAGGTTTTAGTATGACATAAATTTTAAATAAAAAAACATTCAATATTTTGAATTTTTATTTTCATTAGATATATTATTACACCACTTTTTCTTTCTTTTTCTTTTATTAACAATGGTATAATGGTATAACAATCAATTATAAAAATCTGCCCTTTTTGATTTTAAATTCATTTGGGCTCTCTCCATTTATTTCAAATACAATTGTAATCGAAAAATCAAAATGAGCTTTCTTTGATTTTTAGATGATGATTTGGATGATTTTTAATACATTATGAATCTTGAGACATTCGTATTGTCCGAAAATTGTGTATAATACTAATTTTATCAAGAGTGGAAAATTTAAATTCTAGGTGATCATACTCATGATACCGTTGTTTTAATAAATTATTTAAATATCATCAAACAATTACCAAGTGTATTATTGTTCAGAAAATTAACATGAAATAATGCAATAGTAGTTATTGTATAAAGTCATACTTCTATGTCTCTAACAGTGTGCGCACCTAACAAATGTGCAAATTCTCATGGTTCACATGATTTTTGATTGTTACTAAGCCAAATATAATGTGTACGGTGAGGCTATTCGATAAAATATTACTAATAATTGGATAAAACTCATTTCGAATAGTTTATACTTTACATTGTGCATATGACGAAATGAACATTAAAGGCTAATAATCAATTTTTTATATTTCATATTAGAATATTAACATCAATTGTTGCTATCTAAGATATTTAAGGTAATGATATTATGATCGAATTCATTGGAATAATAAAAACGATAATCGACGTAGCAAACAATGTCCGCGCATTAGTATAAGATATGATAATACGATTTAGCACAGCGTCGATAATACGCATGCGTATGAAAAGTTAATTTAGATAGAAATATATAATTATAATACTTTTCATATTCGTATCTCGTATATGAGCTGCATTTCATTGGCCTCGTGCGTCTATGTGGCTTAACAATATATTTAAAAGAAAAAAAAACATACGCGCGCGCGCACACCAGCACATAAACGTACCCGTATCTACACAGGCACACGTGCGCACGCACACGCACACGCGTGCACACATAAAATAGAAAACTAGCAATGAAACGTTAATAGCAATCGTAAATACAGAATGTACATGCGACAAAGACATTTGAAAAATGCAAATAAAATAAGTTTTTCACGATTAACAATCGGCATTTGAGTGAGCATCGTGAAATTTTAAACGAATTAAAGTTTGGAATATGCAATAAATGATTTAAATATGGTTTCTTCATTTGTAAAATTTACGGTGGTCAAAGCTACTTCTGCATCGAAAAGAAATACAAAATAAATGACAGCGGATATGTGAAATTTACCAAAATAAACGTAACATTATAAACAAAACAAAAAAAAAAAAATAAAAAACAAAAAAAAAAACAAAAAAAAAACAACAACAACAAAAAAACATAGTCAATGTAAGAATAGTTAATGCAAGAAAGTTCAAACTGATTATTGAAAATTACAGATAAGCAGAACAAAATTAATTAAAAACCCTAAAAGCACGATAGAAACCTTACATTCTCATATTGTTTTGTACGACGCGTATGACTTTTTGCACGAATATTTTTGTCTACGTGAACAACTACCGATTAATAAATATTCATATTGCAGTTGAAACAACGTGCAATGCTTTACGAAATATTTGGATAAAGAATAATAATATTATTGTATACGGCAGACAAGAGAGCGTTTAATATGATTATAAATGCAGAAAAAAGATGAAAGATGTATGTTAATTACGCAGCATTTTAGATAAGTATAATTTAATGTAAAATTTGAAATGTAAAAATTTTAATTCTTAAGCTTGGCTTTATGTTTATTCGTTGAAAGATTATGTGTCGTAAACACGCTGGAAATATAAATAAATAAACATGAATTTCAAATCGTATATGCTTAAAATGTACGAAGGGTTTTAGAATAAATAGAAGTATGTAATACAAATATAAAAATGAAGAATGCAAAGTTTACAGAAAACTCATAACGTAACTTATATATTATATATAAAATTATATATAATATGTTTTATTATATAGCAATGTAATATACAAATATATGTATATATATATATATATATATATATATGATTTATGTGTTAACAGAACTGAAAAAATATTATAAGTGAATACGAGAAAGTACTGACGCTTATATTTGTATACAATTTAAGTAAAAAAGATAAAAATAAATTCATAGAGCTAATAATTTCTCATGAAACAAGCAAAAAATTATTAAATTACAAATCTAACAGTTTTATTTTTTATTAACAACTGCATTAAAAAGCACGAATTATTTGTTATTCGAGATATATTGGGTACGAAATTTATTATATTTTTCCGAAATATATAATTCTTCGAATAATAAAGAACAATTAATTAATAAAGTAAATTAAACACAATAGAATATAATTATTCTAAAAATTCTAAAGTTACGCGAAAAGGAGTGAAAGCTAGTGTGTCATATTGCGTAATACAAATAGATGAGAGAAAAGGAAACTGCGGATAAACTGTCCTATTAACTTAATAGGTAAATTAGCAGAAAAAAATATGTAATACTCAGAAATATATTTCACATTAAATGCTGCCATTGTAGCTATACCAAAGAATATTCTAAACTACGATAAATAAATGAATGAATAAACAAAACATTAATTCAATAAAGAAAAAGTTGCGAAAACTGGAGAGGGCGTAAGAGAGAGAGAGAGAGAGAGAGAGAGCAGCACGCTAGTACTGAGGTAAGACGATAAAAAAAAAAAAATAAAAAAAAAAAAATAAGTTGACATTGCGATTCGTCGCAAACATCATGTCGAATCAAAAAGTTATATTGGATTTGAATGTACTCCAAGGAATTTCGTGTTCAGACTTAGGTACGATTTCTTTGTTATACGAAGAAAAATCCCATAAAACTTGATTTTTAATTCAATGATACTTTTTCACGATCTGTTCCTCTATATGCAAAAAGTGCCTAATGTCTGTTCATGTTTTTAAAGGCAATTAATCACGCGAATTTTTATGTAAAAAAAAAAACAAAGATCATGGGTGAACGAAAGCAGCGATAAATTTTAAAGCATTGATCATCCATAGGATTTACATAAATAATTATATAATAAAAGTCGAGTGTTTTAAGAGAATTTAATGAAGATAGTACACAATTTTTCGCACATTTTGTAAGTTTCCTTCTACAGTGAAGAATAAACATTAATCGATATGTATTAAGTCGGAAAAGCTGATAACGATTATTAAACAAATTAAAATAAGCGACGATGTTAATAATACTCGAATAAAATTCTGAATGTAAATATCAAATAATTATCTAATTAATTTTTTTAATGTATTATATTCTTTAGCGAATTAGCAATGCTTTGCTAAATATCGAAATAATAAGGTGACGAAGAAAAAATAATTGAACTGCAAAATTTGAGTATTATTATATGCAGTATTAGTACTTTTACAAAAACACTATGCAAATTTTACGCCAAAAATAGCCTGAAAATATTTGCATGCTTCGTTTTATCAGTAAATACATTTATTTCTTTATTTAAATGTGCGATAATTACAAAATAACAAAAATTGCCTACTTAAATCAAAGGAATTTACGTAGTAATATAATTAAATCTTAATGCATTCTTTTTAATTAATTATGCTTAAAATCTTATTTAAAAAAGAAAAAAATAAATAAATAATGAATAAGGTATTTGTCATTAAATTGAATATATTTTTATTTTATATCAAATTAGAAGACCATATCCCTGTGACAGAAAAATTATTTTAAATGGTCTAAACATTGTATAAATGGGCCGATCGTTACAAAGTATTAATAAATCATCAAAGTATTTTTTATTTTAATTAAGGTTAATAATCTTATTAAATTAACAGACAAGATTAATGTAGTTGAGGAACACAATTTCAAATGCCTCGTTTATTTAATTTTTATTTGATTTGTCTGATGATACAAATTATCTTATAATTATCTATAGGTAGTAATTTATTATGTCTCAACAGATAATCTACAAAGTAAGCAAATTAGGCGTTTTTTTTTTTTTATTTTTTTTTTTATAAAATTCATTAAAAAATCAGTAAGATAAATTTTGAAAATTATTAAAGAAAAAAAGGAGGAAAACGATGATTAATATTAGAAATCCAAATTAGAATTATTTGATAAATCCTACATATATATATATATATATAAATCGAGGATAAAAAATATCGATAAAAGAATTTAATAGGCAAGAAAAAATTAAAAATATAAAACACTGATTGTTCAATTTGTAATTAACATATCATTTAATAATTGATATTTAATAGTTTACACATCTCATCTCTTATAATCAATATTTTCAACAATATTAATGTACAAGTTTGTATTGATATTCATTATTTATATTGTTTTATAACAAATAAATAAGTACTATTCATATTATCATTTGTTAATTGCTTTACAGAAAATCATATATGGTTATGTTTTTATATTTTATGATGAAAAATTAATGC